AAGAGGGACGGCAGCAGCTGGAGATACAGCAGCTGGGGCGGCAGCAGGTGGACTGGCAGCAGGTGGACTGGCAGCACTGGGGCCTGCAGCAGCTGGACACACAGCAGCTGGGACGGCAGCAGGTGGACTGGCAGCACTGGGGCCTGCAGCAGCTGGACACACAGCAGCTGGGACGGCAGCAGGCAGGCTGGCAGCACTGGGGCCTGCAGCAACTGGAGATGCAGCAGGAAGGGCGGCAGCAGATAGACTGGCAACACTGAGGCCTGCAGCAGCTGGACACACAGCAGCTGGGACGGCAGCAGCTAGAAATGCAGCAGGAAGGGCGGCAGCAGGTGGGCTGGCAACACTGGGGCCTGCAGCAGCTGGACACACAGCAGCTGGGGCGGCAGCAGGTGGTCCTGCAGCAGGTGCTCTGGCAGCAACTGGGGCGGCAGCAGGTCTCCTGGCCACAGCTCTGCTCAGAGCAGACGGAACCACAACAGGTGTTGCACATGGTGTCAGATGGCAGAGGTTCTGAATAGGTTTCCAAGTGAGTGAGTGAGTGAGTTTGAGTTCTTCTTGCTCTCTCTTGCTTTTTATACCCTGCAGAGGGATACTATGACCACACAAACATTTTTCCTGTTGTTGTTTATACGGTGCTAATAGTCAATTGCTTAGTTTTAGTAAATTGGATAATTGTGTTTATCTGGTAAATACTTCTATTTATGGAAAAGGCACCGTTTCCTTTTCTTGTTGTATATGAGTCGTCCAATTTGGTTAAACCAAGTGAATCAGTGTCTGTTCTTTTTCCTTCATCTGATGTGCCTTCTAAAGTAGACCTCTTGTAAAACATCATCTAACTGGATTTTGTGTTAATTTTTCACTTATGTAACTCCTGGATAATAGGTTGAGGATAGATTTATGATGACTAAATCACATCTCTGACAAGAGGTTAAATGTAAGTTAAATGGAATGCTGGTAGGAAACCAGGATGAAAGACTCATCTTTGGGGGTTGGGTGAGGTGATGTGTGTGTAATGAAAAGAACTGAGATTCCTTTGGATTCTGTGGGCGGTCAGTGAGGTGTAAAAGATTCTCATGAAGTTCCTCTCTGTTTTATCTTACTGAATGTATTCCATCTGAAACAGCTATAATGAAAAGATTCACTGTTTTTAAAAGCACATTGGCATGATGGGTCCTTTAAAAACGATTACGTTATTATGGGCTTATTTTTCATAGACAGGATGTCATAAGGGAACATTCTGATCTATATTTTGGTAAGTCAACATAACAAATGAATATGTATAACTGAAATGTTGTTGAAAGAGTATTTTTTCACGCTCTAAACTATTTTCTCTCACAATATATTTTGGAGATATTTTGCTTGATACAAAAGATAAAGGGTTAAGCTTTAATCTCTGTCCTGTAGACACTTAAAGAAGACAAACAAGGTACATATGTAGGGAAGTGTTTAGCAACCATTTAGAGTATTGTGTGATTAGTGAACAAAATAAAAATTATGTATTTTAAATTTGTACACGTGCAATGAAGATAATAATGGTAATTCAATTTGTCGAGGGCTTACTGTATGTCAGGAATTTTCTGAGTCCTCTATAATCATTATCTTGTTTGCACTTGGCAAGGATTCTATGAGGTAGACACAATTTTTCTGAATTCTTTACACATGTGGTACTTGAAACCCAGATAGACTGAAGTCACAGTCTATAATAGGGAAGGTGTTCAAAGAAGGTGAGATGAATGATAATCCCATGCAATGTCTCACACCGTTCAGTTAGCCTAGAATATTGTTTTCTCCTTTGTCAACTTAGCAAACTCTTGCTCATACTTAAAAGTTCAATCAGGATGCTAACTGATTTCTAATATCATTCCTTCCCTCTCCTTTGCTCCAAGATATGCTCTGATCTAGGGTATCACACTTTACCATAATTGTTTTATTCCTTTTTTTTCCACTCCTTCTGTAAGCCTCATGAAGTTAGAGACTATGTCTTATCCATATTTATAAATTGGATACCTAGAAAGTGTTCTGAGTGAAGATTGTTGAGTAAACATGGGATTTATTGATAACACAGAGCATTTGCTCACCCCCTAACATACTATAGGTTGTCTAGATGAGCGGAGAAGAAAAGAAAGAAGATTCAGAAAATAGGGATATGACCGGATGAAGGTATGTTTTTGGCTTACGATGAGGTAAATGAGCTTTCTGGATGGTGTGTGTAAGAGAGTAAAGAAAGATTATACTCAACTGATCGAGTAAGGAAAATTTTAGGATATTCTTGAATTACACAAAGAGCCTGGATATCATATCATCACACATTGGTAGGAAAGGCATAAGCAAACATCTATGCCTTACAAATATCATTTTGATGGAGGTGGGGGAGTGACAGGAAGCAGGAAGAATATTTAACTGGTAGTTGTAGTTTAGAGAGAAAGATGAATGTCTGTCTGGGAAGTGACAATGAGTGTGGAAAGGAAATTATTGGTGCAGTAGACATTTCAAAGAAGAGGTCAATCAGAGTCAGTTACAAAAGGGGTAACAGAGGTAGGGGGGACGTAGTCATTACAGAGTATTCTCAGTTTGATACTTCTCAATTATTTATGTGTGTATACACACCCACATACACACACATATTTGCACATTTGCAATTAAATCACTCGTGATAGTTAAAAGACAATATTTTTTTTTGAGTTGGCGTCTCCCTCTGTTGCCCAGGCTGGAGTGCAGTGGCACACTCACGGCCAACCCAGCGTTGACCTGCTGCTCTCAGGCGATCATTCTGCCTCAACCAGAACTACAGGCATGCGCTAACACACCTTGCTAATTTTTTTTTTTATTGCAGAGACAAGATCTCGCCAAGTTGCCCGGGCTGGTCTTGAACCCGTGGGCTCAGGCAATCCACTTGCCTCAGCCTCCCAAAGTGCTGGGATTACAGACCGAGCCACCAAACCCGGCTAACAATCATTTTTAATTAGAAGATATATGGCAAGAAACTATCATAAACAAAGTAAAAACACTAATGACTAAATGAGAAACAATACTGGAAATTTTTACCACATACAAAGGGTTGATTGTATATAAAAGATATCTAAAAATAGAACAGGAAAAACATCAGCAGCATAATGGGAAGATAAAATGCAAGTATCTTCTTCACCATATAAAGATATCCATTATTACACATAATGAAAGACATGAAATTATACAGGATAACACTTCTCATTGCTACAGTGTCAAAAATTCAAAATTTGACAACATTCTCTGATATGAGACATTGTGAAAACTGGCATGTTCAGACTTTTTTTTGTGAGGATTTAGCAATAGCTAGCAGAATTTTTTAACTCAGCTGTTCCAATTCTATAAATCATCTCAAAGATACTCAGACAAAAATATAAAAATGTGTAGCACAAGAAGTTCTTTTTGTGAAACCAAAACAAAACAACAAAAGTAGACAAAACCCAGGTGTTCTTCAATAGGGTACTGATAAATGAACTATGATGCATTCCTATAATGGAGCACTACTCAACTGTAAAAAGGAATAAGGCACATCTATGTGTACTGTGAAGTAATTGCCAGCATATATTAAGAGCTGATAAAACAGATGGAAGAAATGTGTATCATGGCCTAGAAAATGTCTAAAAATCCAGACTACAAATATGTAAAATATATTTCCTTACATTTTAAAATTAATGGAAGATTTCAAGATGGAGTAGCAGGAACTGGATTCACTCTCCTGCATGACACAACTACAAAATCAGACAAAATAAATGAAACAATGACTTTTAAACATTGGCTGTCAGGCAAGGCAGGATACTGGCATCTTAGAAAGAGAAAACAAATGCGGTGACACCTAGGATAACTTCAGTTTCTTCCTTGAAGAGAGTTTATAAAGTGCAGTGCTGAGAGGGAGAATTGGGTAAACTCTGGTGATCATCCTAACTTAAGGAGATGGAGCTGGAATTGGAGTAGGGGGGCAAGACAGCTAGGACTCACAGGGCAGAGTACCAGAGGGAAGAGTTGCACAGAGAAACCCAGAACTGCTAATGGTCTACCTTGAGTCTTCAGCTGGGTACTAACCAGTGCATGTGTATGAAGAAATTAACCAAGGGCAGAGAAGGGCTCCCCACTCCAGCCCCACCCTATGAAAGGTAGAGGAAACAATCCTTGGAACTGGCACAAGGACTGAAATTTTTTATATTTCCATGAACCAGACTAAAAAACCTTGTAATTCATGGGTCATTGATTAGAGTACTCAGAATAGTATTGCCTTAGGAGTGTGACAAATTTTGCCTTAGAGTAAAGGTTGCTCTGATCCCACCTCACAAAATGTATAAGAAAGTCTGTCAACCAACAGGCAGAAAGTTTTAGTAAAGTAAGATTAATAAACCCTAAGGATCTTCTGTACAACGTTGTATCTATAGTCAACAATAATGCATTATACAATCAAAATTTGTTAAGAGGATATATCTTATGTTAAGTGTTCTTACCATATTAAATAAAATTTTTTAAAAGTCTAGAAAGAATCAAATTAAGTAGCTTGATATCATTCTAGAACAATTCATTGGACTTTGTCAAAGTTATTTTTTTTTTACTCTTCAAAGTACAGTTTATGAAATAAAAAGTTAAGCTACAAACTTGGAGAAAATACTTACAGAATGTACACCCAAAAAACATGCATGTAGATCATATAAAGAACTCTTGCCACTTAACAATAAGACAAACAGCCGAATAAAAAATGGGTAAAGATTTGAACAGACACGTATTGCGTATCCATACAGTGAGATACTTCCCAGTAATAAAAGAAAATGAATAATTAATGTACATGACAACTCAAATCTCAATACAATTATGCTGAAGAAAGTCAGGCAAATTAGAGTATGCAATGTATAATTTTATTTACATAAAATTGTTAAAAATGCAAGCAAATGTGTAGTAATAACATTATCAGTAATTGCCTGGAAGTGAGGAATAAGAAGGAATTCCAAGGATTGGGTGAAGGATGGTCATTATCTTAATGATAGTGTTGTTTTCATAAATATATACATGCATTGAAACATCAAATTGTGCACCAAAGTGTAGACAATTTACTGCAGGTCAATTGAATCTTAATGAAATTGAAAAAAAAAAGAACAAAGAATGGAAGTATAACCTACCTGGTTTTATAAAAGTTGACCAATGAGGTTGGAGAGAATGGGGTGGAGCAGACAGAGATAGTAGATTTCTTTGAATATACCTTTTTCTGTAGCTTTGAATTTGGATTCATGTAAATATTTTACATAATTATTGAAATATTTGCATTTTTAAAATTTCTCAAAATAAAAAAATCTCACCACAGCCACAATGGAACCTAAATGTATATCCAGACATAAATGTTAAAGACTAACTATCTCAAGATCAAAAAGTTCTTACAAAATCCTGAAAAGCTTGCTCAGTTTGTTTTCAGTAACTGTACTGCTGCTGTTAGTATTGGCAATGTTATTCCAAGACTGTTGTGCAAACATT